GATAAACTGGACCGAGGCCGTTTAGGGCTTTAAAGGTCAGCACCAACACTTTGAATTGTGCTTGGAAACGTACTGGGAGCCAATGTAGGTCTTTCAGGACCGGTGTTATATGGTCTCGGCGGCTGCTCCCAGTCACCAGTCTGGCTGCCGCGTTCTGGATTAGTTGTAGTTTCCGGGTCACCTTCAAAGGTAGCCCCACATAGATCACCTCTGAAATAGAATAAGTTTTATTGTGGAAATAGCAGAGAAGTTATCATCTGCTTTTAATATACAACTCTCTAACACAGGTATTAATTTGCCCATTGATCCGAAACAATGCTGAAGGTACCAGAAGGGTGAAAATTAGTTATGGAACATGGCATGTGGAACCTGGGGATGACTGCAGTTTTTGTCTTTTTTTGCCCTGTTTTAATATGAAGCTATATGAAACTTTGGGGTGAATTTTTGGGTTTTATTCCTTTTAGTTGCACTTGGTCAAAAAAAATGAGAGGCACAATACAAGATGGGTGACACCTGGCTTGAGAGCAGTACATGTGAAAAGGATCTAGGAGTCTTGGTTGACCACAAACTTGACTTGAGCCAACAGTGTGACGCGGCAGCTAAAAAAGCCAATGGCAGGAGTATAGCATCTAGATCAAGGGAAGTAATAGTGCCACTGTATTCTGCTCTGGTCAGACCTCACCTGGAGTACTGTGTCCAGTTCTGGGCACCACAGTTCAAGAAGGACACTGACAAACTGGAACGTGTCCAGAGGAGGGCAACCAAAATGGTCAAAGGCCTGGAAACGATGCCTTATGAGGAACGGCTAAGGGAGCTGGGCACGTTTAGCCTGGAGAAGAGGAGGTTAAGGGGTGGTATGATAGCCATGTTCAAATATATAAAAGGATGTCATATAGAGGAGGGAGAAGGTTGTTTTCTGCTGCTCCAGAGAAGTGGACACGGAGCAATGGATCCAAACTACAAGAAAGAAGATTCCACCTAAACATTAGGAAGAACTTCCTGACAGTAAGAGCTGTTCGACAGTGGAATTTGCTGCCAAGGAGTGTGGTGGAGTCTCCTTCTTTGGAGGTCTTTAAGCAGAGGCTTGACAACCATATATCTGGAGTGCTCTGATGGTGTTTCCTGCTTGGCAGGGGGTTGGACTCGATGGCCTTGTGGTCTATTCCAACTCTATGATCTATGATTCTATGATTCTAGTTCAATCCCATAATTTCCTATATTCTGCAACAGAAAGTGACTATCGTCACTGTTAAAAGCAGTGGCATCATCCTTTGCATTCGCTGCCTCAAATGAGATCAGTAAATGGTTCTAGCTGTTTGGTGATCCAATAATGTAAACATCAGGAATCTAATGGTTGATGCAGCTGTTAAACAGCTGCTATGATATGCTTAGTTCATGAAGCGACTCTGCTTGTTCCAATATACTGCACCCAGGCACATTAGATACTGGGTGTAGGAACTACAGTGGGACCTTGGTTCTCAAACTTAATCTGTTCCAGAAGTCCGTTCCAAAACCAAAGCATTCCAAAACCAAGGCGTTCCAGACTTTTAAAAACAACTCCTAAAACAGACATTTAACATGAATTTTACTAACTAACAAGACCATGGATCCATTAAATGAAAGCAACAATCAATGTCCTGCACTATAAAATAAATAAGACAGTATTGTAGATGATAAAAATTAAAATATTTTTCCCCCTTACCTGCACTGATGTCATTGTTTGGATGGGGATCTTTTATCCATTTCCACAGTCACACAATCAATCAGTAGCTGAACTGGGTTCCACACAGTCACAAAAACAAATTAACCGAAAAAGCCTCAAAAACAAAAACGCAAAATAAATAGCAAAAACAAATCCATTTGACTTCTGAAATGTTTGAAAACCAAGGCATAGCTTCTGATTGGTGCAAGCACCCTGGAAACAATAGCCAACAGCTGCATTGGACATCCAGTTTCCGAAATTCGTTCAAAAACCGGAACACTCACTTCCGGGTTTTCGGTGTTTGAGAACCAAGGCATTTGAGTACCAAGGTACCACTGTATAAACACCAGAAATGAAAGCCGATTCTGGATTTCAGCTCTGCAGAATTTTATTACCTCCCCTTACCCTTGGAGACATGATGCTAGGAGACTGTTTCTGCCATGGAAATCCTTGCTCAGGTCCTTGCTGTTGTAGAAGCTGTCCACTATCACAGCTACAGATTCAGAAGCAAACTGGGAGAAGCTGGCTGGAGACAAAAAAGAAAACATTTAGTTTCTGAGGCATCAAAGAAAAGGCAACAAGGTAATCCCCGCATCTGGAGCCAGGGCAGGCTCAGGCCCATGACGGCCCAGCTGGTGTTTGTTGCAGGGGAACCTGTGCAGACTGGGACTCTTCAGGATCAGGCCCCAGACTTGCCCCAGACTTGGTTCAGATGCCGCCTGAGGCAAAGGATCCGGTGCGGGCTGAGACTCCTCTAGCTCTGAGTCCGAGCCCGAGTCCCAGGCCATCACACAAATAAAGACCCTGCCCTCACAATGCTGACATAACTCTGCAGAGACGTGAAGCAAAGGAATGAAAGAGGGAGAAATTCTTCGAGTGAATCCAGAGAACCAATTGCATATCAGAACTTAAGACAAGTCCAGCTGGATCAAGCCAAGGTAAAGGGACCCCTGACCATTAGGTCCAGTCGTGGCCGACTGGGATTGCGGCGCTCATCTCGCTTTATTGGCCAAGGGAGCCGGCATACAGCTTCTGGGTCATGTGGCCAGCATGACCAAGCTGCTTCTGGCGAACCAGAGCAGCGCACGGAAACACTGTTTATCTTCCCGCCGGAGTGGTACCTACCGGTATTTATCTACTTGCACTCTTGATGTGCTTTCAAACTGCTAGGTTGGAAGGAGCAGGGACCGATAAATGGGAGCTCACCCCGTCGCGGGGATTCGAAGCACTGACCTTCTGATCGGCAAGTCCTAGGCTCTGTGGTTTAACCCACAGCGCCACCTGCGTCCCTTAGGATCAAGCCAAAGGCCTGCCTAATTCAGCAGCCTCACTATGGCCAACTAGATGTGGATGTGCAAAACCCACAGGCAGGACAGGAATGCGAGAGCATTCTTTCAGCATTTGTGACTCCCAGCCACTGGAAATTAGAGATCCATTGCCTCATAGTGGAGGAGGCAGAACACAGCCGGCCTGGCTGGCAGCCATGGATCAAAGGGATTGTATGTAAATATCACCCAAATAATATCCCACAACCCAGCTGAACTAGCAAAGGCACTATGACTCACAAATATCACTATGCCTGAATAAATATTTCACTCAGCACATCTCACACTCGAGGGACTGGGAAGTAAGAGGAAGGAATCCTAGGGACTTTCCCCCCTCCCCACAAGGAACAGACTTACAACCTCCGTTTAAAAATCTCCAAGAATGTTAAAAAAACCGCAAGCTAGCAGGCCCAAGAAAAATGCTATTAACAGGAAGAACAGAAGGGAATATTTGGTCTGGTTTGCATTTTAATTCCATTTTAATTTTAATTCAAAACCTAAACCACACTCCCAAGAGCAAAATGCGAGCTGAAACATTAGTAGCCTTCAAAACTGATATGACTTTCTCTGAAGGGGAAAATGTGTACACTAATACTTTATTAAGTAAATGCAAGCCTAAATATACATGCACGTTTACAAACCGATACAACAATTCATTATATTGCTGGGCTCATATACGAATGCTCACCTAAAGCACAATTTCCAGAGAATACATTGTGTTCAGGAAGCAGGACCTGCATGTATTTAGAATCTATTTTGGTTATCACAGTTTCAGTATTACACACTGTTTTGAAAGTCTTTAAAATTTCAGCCGCACACATGGCGAGTAAAATATTATATGGAAAGTCCCACCATGACACAGTCACCGGAACAAAGTTCTCTCAGATGACCTTATCTGACCACACTCCCCCCCCTCCTCTTTGTGAGAGATTCGATATTGCCACTAGGTGCCAGTAGAGCACCCGCTCAGAAATAATGCACACTGTTATAAATTTGCTGATACATCACTTTCTGCAGTGCATGAAATTTATGAAGTTTTAAAAAACGGTAAAGTTTTACTTCAGCAAATGTTGTTGTTGTTGTTGTTTAGTCATGTCCGACTCTTTGTGACCCCATGAACTAGAGCATGCCAGGCACTCCTGTCTTCCACTGCCTCCCGCAGTTTGGTCAAACTCATGCTGGTAGCTTCGAGAACAATATCCAACCATCTTGTCCTCTGTCGTCCCCTTCTCCTTGTGCCCTCCATCTTTCCCAACATCAGGGTCTTTTCCAGGGAGTCTTCTCTTCTCATGAGGTGGCCAAAGTATTGGAGTCTCAGCTTCTACACCAATATTAATAGACCATGCAGTGGCAGGTAATAAAGTGGGTGGAATGTGTGAGTTT